GCAGCTCAGTGCCTCATTGTGCTTCCTCCCAAAAAAGAATAATTAATCTACGGCTAGGCAAGGTGCCTCATGTTTGTAATACCAGCCATTTGATAGCCTGGGAGCCAGGGTTTGACAGAGTTATCATTTGAGGCCAGTCCAAGGGAGAAAGTTTTAAAAAATCTCTAGCAATAGTAGTTGGGCCTGCCATACTGTTACCCAAATCACGGGAGGCGGAAATCAGGAGGTTCAGGGTTCAATGACAGGCTGGGGCAAAGAAATCATGAGACTCTCAATCAAACCACCAAAACGCAGGAGGTGGAGCTGTGGCTTAAGTGGTAGAACACTAGCCTTGAGCACAAAAGCTCAAAGGCAGCACCCAGGCCCTGAGTTCACGCCCCAGGACTGGCTTTCCTTATCCCTCCTCATCTCCCCACCCTCCCCCCCAAAAAAGTAATTTCTACAAAGAAAAGCTGGAGGTATGACTCAAGAGGTAGCGTACCTGTCTGGCAAGGACAAGGAGATGAATTCAAACCACACTCCTACACACTAAAGATTCACAGATTGAAACCCAATAATTTATTCAAGGCATCATTAAAGCATTCTCCAGAAGCTGTCAATGTTCAAGAGCAATCAACACATGGAACCTCTGCTTGTTTTTTCTTTAATCACTGACAGTGGTATTTAGTAGACTACAACAATTAAGAAAAAGAGATTGGGAAGAAAAACAAAGTGGGTTGGGGCTGGGAAGGTGGCTCCGTGGTAGAGCGCTTGCCTTGCATGCCTGAGGCCCTGGGTTCGATTCCCCAGCAACACATAAGCAAAAAGAAAAAGTGGCGCTATGGCTCAAGTGGTAGAGCGCTCGCCTTGAGCTGAAGAGCTGAGGGACAGGGCCCAGGCCCAGAGTTCAGGCCCTACAACCGGACCCAAAAAAAGAAGGAAAAAAAAAAAAAAAAACAAAGTGGGGGCTCTTCCATATGGGAATCTAATCATAGTACCTACTCTTCAATTTAAGTAAACCTAGAGAAAAGGCATTATTTACCGAGCCTCCATTTAGAAGTGATTTAGCGAGAGGAACTTAACTTCAAATGTGACACCCCTTCCTCCCCCCAAAAGGAACCATTCACTGTGTCAATGAAAATCTCCTTGACTGACAGGACACAAACTGCAGACTGTAGCACTGTCCCCACCCAAGCTGAAGGCAGCACCCTATGAAGTGGATGCCACAGAAACCTCAAACAATGTGAGGTGCATTCAGTTAACCCTGTCTAATCAGGCAGCTCTGCAGCCACGATTCAATCAATGGCAAATGGACTTTGTTTCTTTTCCCATCTCAAAACAACTCCAACAAGTTTTACTGTTGTATTTTCTTAGTTGTAAGCAATCTATTTCAACCAAATTAAACCTTTCTCATTCCCTTTTTTTTTGGGGGGGGGGGGGGGGGTCAGGTCAGGGCCCTGAACTCTGGGCCTGGGCGCTGTCCCTCAGCTCTTCAGCTCAAGGCTAGCACTCTACCACACTTGAGCCACAGCGCCACTTCCGGCTTTTTCCTTTTTGCTTATGTGGTGCTGGGGAATCGAATCCAGGGCCTCAGGCATGCAAGGCAAGCGCTCTACCCCTGAGCCACCTTCCCAGCCCACCTTTCTCATTCTTATTGTTAGCTCAACTCTATTCCTAGCAACTACACTCTACAATATATTTTTGTTTCCCTAACTCCTTCGAGGGTCTTCATATATAATTTTATTCATCTTCCAACTTTTCCCTTCCCCTTGGCCTTTTTCCTAAGCAGTCCCTTAGATACACATTTGATTTGTCAATACACATGTTCATGGACACACATACATTCATATCTACAAGTCCATGGGTATGTATATTTTTAAGTATAGCTTCCAGGAGCACACAAAAATTTTTTTTGAAAGTGGCTTGTCTCAGTATGATATACTCCAATGGTATCCATTTTAGATAGAAAATACCTGAAGAACAAGAAACTGAACATGTACAGACATTTTTTCATGGTTTAGTATTTGCATACCGTGTGGATTATATTAGGGACAATAAGTAATCTAGCACTGAGTGATACTTTGTAAGAGAATGCATAGTTTATGTGTAAATGAAGTATCTGCATATATTATTTCATATAAGGGACTTTAACATCTGCAGATTTTGGAATTCTAGGGGAATCCCAGAACCAATCCTCTGTGGAGACTGCTATAAATAGTACTTCCCAACGCATCTCATCAAGATCCAAGCCATTTGTGGAAAATGAACCATGCAACTTGTGAGCAGGGAGAGAGGGGGGAAACTGAAGGAAAGTGAAGGAGGGGGTGAAATTGTCCAAAAGGAAATGTACTCATTATCTGACTTATGAAATGGTAACACTTCTGTACATCACTTCAATAACAATTTTTTTGAGGGGTTGTGGTGGGGGTGGTCATGGTGCTTGAACTCTGGGCCTTGGACTCTTGAGCTCTTCAACTGAAGGCTAGTACTCTACCACTTGAGCCACAGCGCCACTTCCAGCTTTTTCTGTTTATGTGGTACTGAGGAATTGAACCCAGGGTATCATGCAAGCACTCTACCACTAAGCCACTTTGCCAGCCCCAAAATTATATTTAAAAAAATAAAAGAACCAAATGTTTTATAATGAACCCTCAGCACCCTCCTTCCACATACTCTGGAATACAAGAAGAGGGGACTCCCTGAACATCCAAAAAGTCCTTCCTTGTTACTCTGCCAAAGATACAACAAGAATGTGCAACATCCCTAAACCTGTCTTCTAAACACCAGTGTTTCTTAGAGAGCTAATTCTGCAGAAATAGGGTGCCACAGTCCAACAAACAAGGAAACCACCAGTGTTTTTCACGTAAAACAGGTTTCCTTAAATGCAGGGTGGTTTTTCCGAATCAGTAATTATGTATCTGTCATGGTGGGACAGCTGAGATAGCATTTTCCACAAGCATCTGACCACTAACATGCCATGTGTCTCACTGAATGTCAAAGTAAAGTTCTACACTGCACACTTTGAAAAATGATGAAGTGGTTCAGTGTTGCACACAACAATGATGCCCACCACCACATCACCACGATAGAGAAAGAGATGGCAGGTAGACCTCTCCTTGTTCTTAAGTTAGCACAATGCAATCAATATCTAAATGACAAAATTTTTTGTTGATTTCTTATGAGGTAGAGCTAAACAGGCAGCCAGGTGTGATGGCACATGTCTAGAATCCCAGGACTTGAGACAATACCCATGGCTCACACCTGTCATCCTAGCTACTTGGGGCTGAGATCTGAGGATCACAGTTCAAAGCCAGCCAGGGCAGAAAAGTCCCCATGAGACAATGATCTCCTATCCCTACCTCCCCCTCAAAAAAAAAAAAAAAATGGAACTGGTGCTGTGACTCCAAGTGATAGAGTGCTAACCTTCAGCAAAAGAGTTCAGGGCAGCACCCAGGCTGAACCAAAAAAGGAAAAAAAAAAAAAAAAGAAAGAAAAAGAAAAAGAAAAACAATCTCTGGTGTCTGAAATATGCTCACTGTCCAATATATGCATCTGAATCAAAGATAAGCACTGGTTCAGGTTTGGCTGTAAGTTCTAATACCTTTTGAAAATAAAAACTGAGTCTATGCTGGCCACATGAAGTTGAGACCTGTTACATACTCCTTGTGAGTGACAGGACCCGGTTAATGACACAGCAGTCAAATATTTTGATCCCCTTTTCTTGGAGAAAAAAACATCAAACAGGATGGACTCAATCTGTTAATTATATCACCTATGAAATTCCTGTCACTCTTCAGCAGTGGAATTAACCCCAACAAAATAATCTTCACTAGTTTTACTGGCTTCTCTGCAAGCCTCTTAGTATACAAAATGTCTTGTGATAAAACAAGGCCCTGCTACTGTCCAATGCGCTCGGATCACCTGCTTCTAAGTAAACCACTTGAAAGATTCATTTAATACATTTTTGGAAAATCATACAGGTGGGATGCTTTCAACTTCAGTCACTGACTGGTGAACCTGAAGTTCATCTCCTAAGAAAAGGAAGTTAAAGAGAGTGATGAACCTTGTCCTAAGCCACTGGGGAAGCAAAAAAAAAAAAAAAAGAGGAAGAAGAATTAAAAATACCTCTCTACCTTCTGGACAGTTCTATTTCAACACTGAAGATTTTCCTGTTTTTCAAGCTGAGTGTGGCGCATACCTATCTCCTAGCTACTTGAGGCTGGAACAGAAAGATTATATTCAAAACCAGCCTGGGCAGTAAAGTCCATAAGACTCTAGGCTCCATTTAAGGAGCAAAATGCCATGAGCAAGAAAGGCAAGCAAGAAAAGAAAATTTAAGGCCCTGAGTTCAAACCCCAGTACACACACACACACACCCACACACACACAACACACACCGTTTTCCAAAATCCTAACAGTTTATTCAACTTGTGCCATGTGTGTGTTCCTTCTGCAGGGTCACCACAGCCCTCATTTATGGTTAAAGAAAAAAGCAGGCTGGGTGCTGGTGGCTCATGCCTATAATCCTAGATACTCAGGAGGCTGAGATCTGAGGATCGCAATTCAAGGCCAGCCCAGGCAAGGAAAGTCCATGAGACTCTTATCTCCAATAAGGAAACTGGAAGTGGCACTGTGGCTCAAGCGGTAGAGGGCTAGCCTTGAGCTAAAGAGCTGAGGGACATGCCCAGGCCCAGAGTTCAAGTCCCACAACCGGCACAAATAATCATAATCATAATCCTACTAAGTATATAGTTTAAGTGAGAGCACACTCAGTATGAGAAAACAAGGAAAGAACTCTCACCAACACACAAACAGGGATGGGGGTCCAGTCAAGGAGGCGGCAGCAGGAAGCAGATGGCTCCAGTGACCCAGGTGTGTCCCCCCGGTGTGTCCCATGTTTACTAACCCCCATACCATCCCAATCCAGTCCACGGTCTGCTCCTCGGGGCTCCACAGTCTCCCGAGGCAGCAGCACGGTGACTCCCTCACCATCTCCAGCACGGCCTGGGTGCCACCCTTACCTCCGGGCCTGTAGACCACGTCGTCCTCGGTGATGTAGGAGGTGATCTCGCCAGTGTCCGTCCTCTCATAGCGGGATTTCTTCTTCGGAGGTTTCTTCTTGCTCTTCTTGGTGGCCTCCTCCGCGGCTGCGCCGTTGTCATTGTCCTCATCCTCGCTGTGGTCGCTCTCCGCGTAGTTCTTGGCTCCTCCTTCCAAGGTGCAGCTCCTGCGCGGCCGCGAGTTCTCGCTCTCCCTCGCCTTGTCTCTCTTCTCCCTCTCTCGGTCCCGGTCCCGGTCCCGGTCCTTCTCTTTGTCTTTGTCTTTGTCTTTGTCGGCCGTCATGATTCGCCACGTGCCTTCTTCTGTCCTCTCACGGCTAGGCCTCCGTGAAAGGTAGACAGTGAGCCTGGGCTTCAGTCTTCTGAATTTCTCACTCAATTCCAGGGAAAATCCAACCACTCCAACAACCCCGACTGTCAACAATGCTGATGGAGAGAAGAGAGAAGGGGTTGGTTTACTTTCACGGTTCCTTAAAAAAAGTATCTTTACGTGGATGCACAGGAGGGGGTTGGGGGATAACAAACCCTGGTCAGAATCACTCTTTCCAACATTTCTCCCCTCCCTCCCTTACACCCACCTTCTCCCTCGCTTCTTCATTTTATAGGGTACACAGGGGATTCTGGATTGTACTCTCACCCTCCTTCCTTTTATTCCTTCCTAAAATTTTGTTTCGTTAAATTTTGTTCTTAATCCTTCTTACATGAAAACTTCAAACAGGCTATAATAAAAAGGTTTAGAACAAGTGATATACAATTTCAATACAGTTTTTGGCCTTAGCTACTAGCAAGGTTTGAGGCTTTCCTCCCTTATTAATTAAAAAAACAAACAAAAAACCTGTCTAAATCCCAAGAATAACTGGACTTTCTGTACATCCACTGTTGTCTGTTAAGGAAAAGCGAAAGTATCCTCCAGTAGATAACATATAATAAAAAAATTAAGCAAATTAACTTCAACCTACAAAACAAAGGAAAGAACATGTAGAATTTTTTTAGGATAAATTATTTCTATATAAAAAATAAACTTGGATAGCCTTGGATGCCATATAATGAATGCATTGTCTTCTGATGACTACCATCCTCAAATTTCCAGAGCTCCTTTCAAGAATAAATATGTTTGATTCAAACAGAAATAACAGACTCAAAATACAGGCAACACCTTGCAAATATTTCCAGTCTACCATCCAAGGCATACTCCAGAAAAAAGTCATTTCTCTAGAGAATTACTATCTCTACCTTAACAATTCCAGAAACAACATCCCTCCTTTTAGGGATTGAGAACTAGGTGGTTTTTACATTTTTCTAAATTTCCACTATTAATAGCTTCCCTAACAAACTCCTCCACAGCTAAATCTGAATCCTAAACTCCAATGCAACATAATTCTTATAAAAAATTTGTATCAGAGACAAAAACTTTTGAAATGTCTATTTTAGAATTCTTCAGAAGCAGTCATTTTTATCTTCCATCTTCTCCAGTAACTCATCTCATTTCTTCAATAATCTTTACTAAATACTAAGTGCCAGGTGTTCAGAACTAAAAATACAATGAAGGAAGAAAGCCTGATCCTAGCCCTTAGTGCTCTAATGTAACAAAAGGAGGCAACAATCAATGGGAGAGCCATCTGTTTCTCATGCTACTAGGCCAGATAGAAAACAACATGTGCAAACAAACAAAAGACTGGTCCTGTTTACTTAGCCAACAACAGATCAGTTTTCAATTGTAGTCCTCAGATGCAGAGATAATTCTCTTGGTCATGCCAGTATCCTAAAAATTATCACAGATTAAATAAATGCATAGTTCAAACCTGATGCCAGATTGAAGTTTCCCTTAAGCATGTCAAATATCCTTAGGAATTCAGGAAAATAAAAATCTTAACAAGCCCCTTGGGAAATGACCCAGGAAGAAGCAATAATAACTGGCCATCTAGAAGCAAGGCTAGAAGACTGACTGCATACAGTGCCAGCCTCCATTACTTTTTTCCACTTAGCACACATATTTTCAGATAGGATTTCAATTTTTAAATGAAATTTTCAAAAAGAAAAATAGAGCCATGGAAGATGTGCAGAGATGAATCATCTGCTAAACAATAATAAATTCCCAAGTCCCTGAGAGCCACTGGTATTAGCAACTGAAAATACAGAAAGTGACAAATACATTACATTCCCCCATCAACATTAGGGTTTCGAGAAAGAACAAGCCAATTAAAAAAAAAAAAAAAAGACAGCTAACATATTTGTTAAAATTCCTAACACTGAGGCTGGGAGTCGGTGGCTCACACCTGTAATCCTAGCTACTAGGAGGCTAAGATCTGAGGACCACGGTTCAAAGACAGCCCAGGCAGCAAAGTCTGTGAGACTCATATCTCCAATAAACCACTAGAAAACCAGAAGTAGCGCTGTGGCTCAAGTGTTAGAGCACTCGCCATGAGCAGAAGAGGGCAGGGACATCGCTCAGAGCTGGAGTTCAAGCCCCACGATCTATCACCCTCCCCCCAAAAAAATGTTACTGATAAAATGAACTAAGCAACTCAAGGACAGCGATGGGAGGGAGGGAATGAGAGAGAATGAGAGGGAAAGAGGGAACAGCTTACATTAAACAAAAGGAAAGAAATGTACATATTACCCGATGTGGAAGAAATAGTTGTATTGTCAAAGCTAATAGAATTCACAAACCTTATAGACCACGATAATGACAATTTGCCTCATGAAGGTTAGAATGTGTTTAAGTGTTACTATCTCTCACAGTACTGTGAAATTTGTGATATTTATGTAATCACTTAATCACAATAAAAAATTATTTTTAAAAATGTTATTTCAAGCCTAGCACTGGTGGCTTATGTATGTACTCCCAACTACTCAGGAGGCTGAGATCTGAGAATCACAGTACAAAGCCAGCCCAGATACGAAAATCTGTGACACTCTTATCTCCAATTAACCAGCAGAAAACCGGAAGTGGCACTGTGGCTCAAAGTAGTACAGTGCTGGCCTTGAGCAAAAGAAGCTCAAAGATAGCACTGAGGCCCGGAGTTCAAGCCCCAGAACAGGCAAAAATTTAAAAAAAAGTTATTTTCAGCACTGACAAAGCAAAAATAAACTCAATTTGAAAATTCAATAGTACTTACTATAAAATTATAGTTTCTAATTATAGTTTCTATTTACAAAGTCAATTTTTTCTTAGTTATCTGAAGATTAAGTACATTTTCATATTATTTGCTTATTAACATGTAAATATACAGTATATATTTCCATAGTCAACCATAATGTAACTAAGAACATCTGTATTACAAAAGCCAAGGTCAATCCAACTGTCAAGTATGTATTTTCCCAATATTCAAACTGATCTTTCTAAGCCTCAGTATACTGTGACCAATACACACCAATAATATGTTATCTGAATAAAGGGATGCACAGGGAACCGAGATGGTGCTAAAAAGGAGAGCTGTCACTTTAACGTGCTAGGAATGATAGGCAAAATAGCCAACATAAGTGCACCTTTATAGCAATGTGAGGTCAACAGAGCGGTTTCCTCATTTGATCCTTCCAACAGCTCGAGAAACTGAATTAGGCAAAGTTGTCACCTCACTGTACCGTATACAGCGCTGCAAAGAGATGACTTACACAAGGCCACACAAGCATTGAGCAACAAAGGAAGCATGCTGAAGCAGCTCTAACAGAGCAAACCCGGCCTGACCTGATTAGGACCTACTGCTCTCTGTGTAGCTGGCCTCTTAACTCCCCACAGGCACCCACCTGTCCTCCACAGATCCAGGCTGGTCATTCATACTGACAGTTTTAGGAAACACATTCATTCTGCTCTCCCTTTCTCCAAGAAAAATGACCAAAAAATAGGTTTAAAGTATGTGTTGATTACTGCTCATCCTAGTAAAGCAGGAAACACAGTGTAACATACTCCAAATAATAATAAAGTTTAGTCCAGAGCACAAAATGTCATCTACTCCTCTGAACAGCTACTACGTGCTGCTTATGGCCATAGGTGTTAGAAAACGGCAGAGAGGGGCTAGGAAGGTGGCTCAGTGGTAGAGTGCTTGCCTAGCATGCATGAGGTCCTGGGTTCGATTCCTCAGCACCACATAAACAGAAAAGGCTGGAAGTGGTGCTGTGGCTCAAGTGGTAGAGCACTAGACTTGAGGTGAAGAGCTGAGGGACAGCGCCCAGGCCCAGAGTTCAAGCCCCATGACCAGCAAAAGGGAGGGGCGGAGGGACAGAGAGAAAGAAAGAAAGAAGGAAAGAAAAAAAAGAAAACAGCAGAGAAACACACAAGCATCCCTGCCCATCCCAGATTGGAAACATCCTCGTACCCACACAATTAAAGGCTGTGTGTGCATGGTGGCTTCTGTGGGGATTCGGAGGGACAGTTAAACAAGTGGTCAGGGAAGACCTCCCTTAGGTGGCTTTAACAATAAGACAGAGGAAGCCAAAGGACACATGCACACGTCCAGAGGTAAGAGTAGGCCAGGCGCACTCCAGACACAAGAGACCATGGTGGGCAGGCAGGAGTGGAATGGGCTGGAGGCTGAGTGATGAGCTGGGAGAGGTGAAGGGGCAGAAGCAGGAGGGCTCGGGTCCTGCCAGGTTCTGTGAAGACTGCCTTGGACTCAAGTGACCCAAAATGACTTGACAGGGATGTGAGTAGCAAAAAAAAGAAAAGAAAAAAAAGGACATGATGTGACTTCTGTTTACTTAACTTCACTGTCCACTGAGAACAGAATGAAGCGATGTGGGGACTGCACAAAGACTGGTAAGGACAGAGGCTCAAGGCACAACCCAGGGAAGAGGTCAAAGCAGCTGGGATGGCCAGGGTGGTAGAGACCTCATTTCCTATGCATTTTTAAGACAAGAGGCAAATAGAATGTGCTAATGAACTGGCAGGTGAGGCCTAAGTCAAGAACAACTCTTCAGGAATCTGGCCAGAACCGCTAACTGATGAAACTTCCACTGTCTTGAGTGTTGATTGGGGAGGAGCAGGGGCTCAGGTCATGCACATACAGGAGCATATACAGGAGGTTTGGGCCACAACATTGGTAGTAAAATGCAAAGCCCTGGGCTCAAACCCAGCACTACAAGAGACAAAGTACACACTGAGGTCCAGGCTAGACAAAAAAAAAAAAAAATTAGTTTCAAGTTTGGTTCCTAAATTAGTTTGAGACTAAGATCAATCACCAAGGAACTAAATGAAAATAATGTGTGTGTATAAGTGGGCATGTGCATGTACACACAGTAGTGCCAGCGCTTGAATTCAACAGTACTCATATTAATTGTTTCTCACTTATAGCTGGCACTCTACCACCTGAGTCACACCTCTTCTGCTTTTTTGCTGATTAGCTGTAGTCTCTAACTTTTCTGCGCAGGGAGGCCCTTAACAGCGATCTCAGATCTCAGTCTCTCAAATAGCTAGTTTTTGTAAGAAT